GAAGGTTTGGTTTATAACACAAACAAAATTGTTACATTCTGAATGGGTTGTAAGTACCTGATTCTTTGCCTTTTTACTCATCCCTGCTAAAAAAAAAAATCTGCAAATCCATTTGCTAACCAGCTGCACCTCTGTACTGAACAGATAACAACCTGTGCAAGCCAGGCTTTGCTGTGAATCGGTGCTGATAGGCCTGAATCTCATAGCTTTTTTTAAATGCTAATGACAAGAAACATTTCCTAAGCCAAAACGCTCTTGTAGATCTGTCTACTTCTATTATGACTGATATTTGCTTGTAAGTACATAGAACACTTGTTCACTGTGCCTTATCTGCTATGGTGCAGCATGCTGACCTACATACCATTCAGCACAATATGATGCACAAACATCTTCTAAATAATTTTTCATTTTCGACTTAAAAACAGTAGAGGCAAAATAGGATTGCTGCAAATCTAACAAAGAGATGGCATTATTTCCAAATAAAAATGTGCATTTTTCCAAAGAATTTATTTGTCTAGCAGCATGAAGTTCATACATAGCAATGCTTAAAAAGGGTGTTGAATTGCGATTAGGAAGGAAGGACTTACGAAGAAGAACAAACCACATCTTTTCTACTTATATAGAATAATTAAGCTAACTTATTTCTCATCACAATTAAAAGTTCAGCCTTTCTGAACCATGTTTTTGCAATGTCACTAAATGCTGCCGATACAAGAATGCTGAAATAAGTGTGATAGTAACAATAAAGAATGATGGATAGAAAAGAATACAGCAGCTAAGGGAACAGAAATGATAGTCTATTACCTGCCATTGTCAAGCTAAACAGAAGTACAGTATTTATGATTTTAGCTATGATGCCTGCTATGTTGTATAAGCCCAGCCTTTATGATGATACTTGTCTACTGAATGAAATAATTAATACGTCAGTTTTTATTGTAAATAAATATATGTCTTCCCAGTGGCCAGATATTATTAATATTGAGTAACAGTAGCACGGCCACAAATACATCAAAAGCTTGTAAAGGAAAATGTACTTTAAGAGCTAAATATTAAGAGCAAAACAGAAAGTCTCCATCAATTCAGAACATTTCTAATAAATTTATATTCTAAAATGTTAAAAAAGGGCAGGAAAAAAAAAGCCTGCTCAAACAAAAGGAAAAAAAAATAAATGCTTTGCTTTAGCAGAATACAGTAGTCCGAACCCTAAAATGTATATAACTATGACTTCTACATAGCAAAATTGTGTAAATAAACCTAAATTAAAGACATTTTTATAACAGTCTGGTTTACACATGCACTGAATTGAGAAATATTTATTGCCCTGTTATTACTTCTTGTTGAAAAAAAACCCAAACATACAAATTAGAGGAAGCATCAATGTTTAATCATAGAGGAATTTTAAACGAATGACACAACATGTATGTACTAATAAATATTAGTTTTCTAAGAAAATATTAATTTTCATATCCACAGTCACTACAATTTTTTTTGTTTCTGGTGAAACATATGGTCTAGGAATCAGCTTAATTGCAGTTTTAAACTGCAAAAATGAAATAATTTGGGTCTCAGTCCAAGCCACAGTGAGGTCAATAAAAGTGTTGCCACTGATGCTTAGAAGCCCTTGGTCAGTTTGTTGGCTGTATTATCCTAGGTTGTTTCTCTATTGCTGTATTTTAGAACCAGTGATTGATAAGACAAAGTAAAATGTTTGGTACCTTTAGCTATTAGCCTTTGCTTTTATTCTTAAAATGAAATGTTATCTGTAAAATAGTGTCTGGATTGGTCAAAACCGACTGATATTTTTTGCATTTCACTATGTACCTTCTTCTACACAGTCCAAAGACACCATCTCTCAGACAAGCCACTGACTTCTATTAAAGTGACAAGCAATGTCTTTATTCACGTTACTTATATATCATTAATGAGAATAATACAAGTAGCTTTATGAGTCTAACATCGTTTGCAGCAATGTGGCTTCCAGAAATAGATTGCTACAGACACTGATACATCTTACAGCATTACCACACAATCGACGCTGCTTTTGGTAGATTTAACTCTATGAGTGAGGTGGATTTCCAATTCGTGTATCAGAATTGGTTTCCAGGTTCCTCTTTAGTTTTACAATATCTGTCAGAAAAACCTTGGGCCAGATCTGCATCTATAATTCATTTAAATAGGGTACTACATATAATTGGTGCTGTGCTCAGCAGTTACAAGCTCTGTGATGTTAACAGGACCATAGACCAGAGATCAGACTTAACCATGCCAGGTCCCTGATCCACGTGTTCAGCACCGAAATCACTGATGCTAGCTTAGACATGACTAAGGTTCAAATCATTCCCTGTGCTCAGGAAAAGCCAGTCTTGACAGAATCCTGATGAATTGGGCTCCAACATACTAAACTGGTTTGTGCTCAACCCAAATGTACAATGACAGGATGAGCCTATTCTGAGATACTCAGTGTAATGTTCAGGCTGAAGCTGCTGACCTTGGCCTGCGGTGGCACATGGCTGCACGCTGCCATGTAAACGACATGAGTAGTAGGCAAATACAGTCTGTGAGTGCCTGAATGATCTTGTAACCACTGAACTTTCATGATCAAGAACTATGTTAATCACAAAGACCCCTCCCAGTATATTATTATGCTATCTAAGGTGGATATGTCGTGGTACATTGCACCTGGAATTTTCTTCTGAGCCCAATAAGGCTGGTGTGACTTTTATTTTTTTGTTTCCAAAAGGAGTAACAGAGAGGAAGACTCTAAGATATGCATTGCTATGGTTCTTTCTCATCAAATTAATTTCATTAAACACAGACATATCTGCAATAGGAGTTACTGTGATGCACCTTTTACAGAAGAGCATGACTTGTAAGGGTTACATGCTTTATTCAAAGTCTAATGGGAAATCTGTAAAGGAATGATGGCATAAATTTCACATCTCTCTCTTCATCTTTGTTTAGGCCAGTACATAATATGGATTATTTTTCTTTCAGCTATAACTCTTCTAAAAAACTTACATTATCCTAAAATGTACACAGGACACAATTCTCACCATCTAACATGAGTACATGCAAGTAAACACTGATATTCCAGAGGCTGAATCTTTTCCATCAGACTGTACTTGTCATTGACCAAATAAACCAAGTCTTCTAACAAAACACTGGAAACATAGCTAGTGTCTGCATATTAATTAGCCTTCCTGACCTGAATAGACTATTACCTAGGGCCCTGGCCTTCATTTCCTAAGCACCCTAAACTCCACTGCAATGAACAAAATGAAAGACAAGGCCTTTATTTTGGAATTACATCGTATGAAAATATTGCTATTGCCTAAGAGATGGGATTTCTGAAAATGCCATGGAGAGTTTCTGACACAGAACAGAAGAAGGGCATTGTTTTGTTCCAGATGAGGTTCTGTGCCCCCGTAAAGGACTGTCACCCAAAACTTAGACCATTCTTTGTACCTTACAAAAAATACAGAAAGTATGGTTAGGGCTTCTATCATTTTGACCAAATATGTGTAAAACTTAAAACTGTTCTCTATTTTAATAAAAGAAAATGAGGTAATACTATAAAAATAGCTTCCTTTGATCCTAGAAGCACTTTATTACAAGGTTCGCAAGCCAAGTGGAATGAAAAACTTTTAAATAAAAAATTAATGTAAAAAAGCAAAGCTGGGAGATAGCTAGATTTAAGAAATATTGCCCTTTTTTTTGCAGAGCTTCTGCAAAAAAATATTTTTCTTTTAAAAAAATATGATTCCCCTTTCAACTCATTCCAGACACAATTTTACAGGTAGGCTCTGTGACTCATTAAATCCAGCTTTGAAGATGCACCGTAACATAAAGTATTACAATTATCATATACTCTAAAAGCCTGTTTGGAATCTAACTCAGTAAAGTTTATTAATGCTCTGGAAAAGGTGGTAAATTCACATATGATGTTTAATTGGGAGCTACAGAGACTGGAAATATTCACAGGAAGTGAAGAGAAAAGCATCGTCTTCTTTTAATTTAGAAAAAAATTAAAGAAAATTACTAAATCTGGTTAATAATTACTTGAAACTTTGTTTCTCAAAACTGTGCTTTCTCTGTAATGCGTTTTTTCCCCACATACATTGTTATGTAGGTAAAATGGACACCTAGAAAGGATTCAGTTCTTTTAAAATTACAGATAAGCCTTCTCAGCCTTTGCATTATTGTAGAGGCAATGTTAGACAGTCCTTAATTGAACTCAGTTTGATAGCAGAAAACAAAAAAGAGTATTTTAAATACAAAAAGAATCTGATTTGAAAGAAGGAATTAATAGGAAACGATAGGGGCAAAAGGAGGTAGATTTGGAACGGCCTGTAAATGTTCTTAGGCAGGGAGACAATAGATTATAAATGAAGGTTAAAAATAAAACTCATGTATGTATCATGTCGTTTCAAATAAAAAAATAAGCAAGGAAGTAGAGGACATGTAAATATTTGAAAGGTGACTGAGGCCATCCAGGCTACAAATTCACCTGTAGGAAGTCGTGCAAACCCCATCATTTGCGACATTTAAAATTGGACTGTCCATGGATCTAGAAAATGCACTCTGGAGAATAATCTAATATTACAGGGAGGTAAATTAACAGACCAGCAAGGTCTCTTCTATTCCTTATTTATGTGATAAATCCACTGTAAAAACACACTATAAAAATTTATATCTTTCCACAATGTACACAGAGCAGCTCTGTTCTGAAAGATGCTGAGCAGCTGCTTGAAGGGCACAGGTATCCTGTGCCTGCAATAGAGTCATGGGAAATCAATAGTTATCTCCAAACGACAAAAAGAAAGAAAAAAAAATCAAAGTAAGACTGTATTTGCCAGTATTCCATGAACAGAAGCCCATTAAAACTAAGAGGACGTTTGCCTTTAAATGGATGGATATCATTATGCATGCAAAAGTGCCCAAAAATAAAAAGGCAGAGTGGCTGCATTTCGAGGAAACAGTTGAGCAGCAGCAACCATTACCTTAGCAATTGCAGCACACGGGCTCTCTGCTCTGCAGTCTAAAATGAGGACATTCCCTCTGCTGTGTGATTTACTTTGAGTATGCCGCAATCTTCTTTCTCCTCAGGTAAAATGTCAATGAGCAGTGTCCCAAATGTTTTCTCTGATCTTGTCAGGAGCCACTTTGTTTCCACATGGAAAAAAAAAAAAAAAAAAAAAAAAAAAGCACCCAAAACCTTTTGCTATGTTAACACTGCCCAAAACTAGCCCAAAAGGAGCTGGTATGACATGGGAAGCTCATGCCAGGCAAGGATCACACAGGACTGCCGCAGTGCAAAGAACGGATCCAAATCAGCCTTTCCACAGTCTGAGCAATAATGTGTTCTAGCTTGGGGCCAGCATGCAGACTGCACTGCATCTCTATCGGCTTGTGAAGGTGCCATAGAGAGGGAGGTCGTCTGAGTGAAAGTGTGGGAAGACAACAGGATTTGGCCCTTCGTTTAGATAGCAGCAAGATACCCTGTAGAATTTAAAGACCATGTACTAAGGCAGATAACCCTGAGACTGGATGGACAGATGGATGTATGGACAGAGGGACAGCTACATGATTTTGTTTAATGTACTGCATGATACTCATGCTTTAACAAACATATACATCTCAATACATATTAATTACTTCTAAATACTTGACCTTACCCCTCTGTATTTATTACATCGCTCATAGCTACTGGACTGTGAAAAGGAGAAAGTACCTTCTCCGTCATGGCAGAGCATTAAACATTGATGACTGAGTTCTTTTAGCAAAAAGAATAAAAGAATAGATCTGAACTGAGATCAAAGGAAAAAGAAAACACCTTTACATCGTTAAGAACCTTTTTCCCCATTTTGTATTAAGCCTCATTGCAATAAAAGGGAGAATAACACTAAGTGGCCTCTCTGTTGAAGTACAGTTGTCCTGGGTTCAAGGTAAGTCCACAATGAGAACTGCAGTCAACCACCACAAAGCCTCCCATTGATGCCACGAAAGCCCCCTGGCCCTCGGGTCAGAGTGTGGTGGTATCACCTGCTTATGCAATATCTGTACCCTCATTTTGCATTATTCAACGGTAAAAATAAGCAACTTACTTTTCCCTTTTTAATGCTCTAAGTAATGTTTCTGGTACAGGCAACAAACGGAGCATCCTTAGCAGACAGGTTATTTATATTTCTGAATTTAATGTTAATTCTTATTTTCAGCAATGTGGGAAACTGTACTTTTCAGAGACTCAGAATTGCTTTGAAGTAGACATTATGACATGTTCTACTTTTGCAGAGTTGCTGAGCTGGAAGTCTAGTGTGAACAAGTGTGTATTCCAATGACCATTGGTGACAGGCACATTCCCGGATCAGGGATTTTTTTTTTGGCTCAAAATCCCCATCCAGCTTGCAGGAATAGGCTTTTTCATGGAAATAAAGATAAGAAAAGTCCAGGAAGGCAAATCAGTGGGATTTCATAGCCTACATGTGGAGGTCAGAGGTATATTTGTAGTTAAGTAAATCAAAAGCTATATTTTAAATATCCATCTTGACGCTCAGTTCCTGAATAGAATACAAATAACGAGACAAAGAGAATCTAAAAGGGACTGTAAGCTGATCTACTGATGCAACAGCATGATAGCAATTTACACATGTGCCTGTTTAGTGCAGATTTACAGTAGGACCTACAATCTCAGCAGTAAAATCCCTGCAATCTCAGGTGCTATCTGAAAGTCACAGTACATTCACATGACCAAAAAGAAGGAAAATTCCCATCAGTTCCATTCAGGACATTTTCATCTGTGATTTTCCATCAGTCGGCAAAGAGGAAGGTTATTTTGGGAAAGACAAATGAATTATGGTGTAACTCCACAGTTCAATGTGTGCTTATTAGCACTTTTTAGTTTGTATCACCAGTTTTATAGTTAACAATATAAGCATAAAAGTCATGTTAGCACATTATCAGTAGCTTGCCAGGCTGGTAAGTATTTAATTTTTAGGGACATAGGTACTTATCACCATACAGACGTAAAGCAATTTTCTGTGTTCAAGAATAGAGTTTTCTCTTGATTGCTATTCACAGGAACATAGACAGTTACCTTTTCATAGGCTTGCACTGCCTCCTCTAAACCCCATATACCTCATTTTTCATTGTTTCCACCCTCCTAATGTAGGTGACCGACATAGCAGCCATCAGCTGATTCCTGAACAAGATGGAGCAGGCCCAGACCATTTGCTCTGGCACACACATCTGAACATTGACCTGCACAGCAGGAAAATCCTTTCCACAGGGCAGTGCAGCCACCCTGGGCAGCAGCAAGCTATGCACAGCAGTCCCTCTGTCCTGGGATTGGTCAGCCTGGGAGGATGCTGGCCACAAGCGTGCCGACATCCCACTCACTGAAGAGTCTTCCAGGGCCACACAAGAACATCTGCAGACAGGGAGGACAGTGTCAGGGGCTCTGGGGATCTGCTGCCACTGTGAGATCCTCTGATGTCACCACTGCAGCAGCAAGGAGGAGCTGGGGTCAAGTCAGTGGTTCTCCAGTCCCAGGACCCACTGGAGCAGTTTCCTCAGAGAAACTCTTCTCCCTAGACTTAAATACTCATCTAAGACACCAGACCTAGATTTGGAGTAAATATGCAATATCTGTATAGACACAGATGTAATTCATGTCACAGGACAAAGCCTTTTTAAGGGTATATTACATTTCTGAATGAGTACATAAAAGCTGAACTTAAGTGCCAATAAGCTTTATCACCAGAAGGCACAAGCTTTATGTTATCGAAAGTCTTAAGTCTATAAAATGTAGAGCCAAGTAGACAGCACCATAGAAAATGTACATGCAGATGCTGGGCAGAACTTTATCTACGGCCTCATGATACTACAGGGCCTTTTGCTTTTTAAAGCCTTCTTTTGTTTCTGCATGCAGTTTGGAGCTGGTTGCTGGGAAAAGGAAAGGTTTATCAAGGACACAATTAGATCCAAGCAAACAGAAATTTAGATACCGCTTTACACTTACCAGGAAACCAGAGAGTACATGCTGAAACTAACTAATTTATTTGGTTATATCCTTGCAAACACTATAATTCTGCCCCTTCAGACACACTAACGAGGAGTGTCAGCAGAGGAGACCAAATTCCACTCTGAAGCCCAGTGGGGACAGAGGCAGACTCTGTGATTAGCTTATAATACAGTTCCCTGTTTGAAGAATGCAAGATTTCAGTTCTCCCTGTACTTTGAGGCTGGGACAGGGACAAAGAATAGTATTTTGGAATAAACTTTAGCTGTTGAGAATGGTGTTTGCCATGCCTCAAGCTGCTTCTGGACAGGCAGGTGGGAAAACTGGCTTCCTACCTGCAGAGCTCCTAATCCTATACAAGCAATGCACAAGAGGCAGAAGGGGGAAAGTAGTGACCTATGTTTACGGAAAGGTGGAAGCATGCACGTGAAGCATTTCTTGTAAACTGAAAGAGCGACGCCGACTGGGCTCACACTAACACACAGGGCAAGCAGTCTAGACTAAGTGCACTGGGTCAAACTGACCATTGCCACCTCTCATGTTTAATTTGATTAGGAGGCTGGTGAGGGAAAGGGATCTACATTTCATATTTGACCTCTGTTTCAAAAACTGCAAGGTGAAAAATTAGAAACTTCTTTGTTCTTTCACCCTCTTTGTTCCTTGCTTCTCAATATACCTGCAGTGCTTTCCCCTCCTCAAGCATTCCTGATCCCTCTCTCTCACAAACAATTGCACAGCTGAGTAATCATGTTTTGATAGTAATCCAACTTTCTAAATTTGAGATCAGTCTAGAAAAGAACAACATTCTCTTATTATAACAGTATATCACATCTCATCCCCCACTTTCAACACAGCATCCCAGTGAGTTCCCACTACCCATCTGATGAGGAAAGGAGGTAGGTAACTTTCTGCTGAAGACAACTTCTCTCTCTTGCCTGTTTGTGTTGGAGCCCAAGTCAAACTTTTTCCAGCAAGCTTCTCAGAGGAGAAGGCAAGAGCTGCAGCATTGTATGGCTCTCTCCTCGCACTGGAGCTGTCAGCTACAATCAAAGCATCCATGTATGGTATTTCCAGTGGAAAAAAAAGTACACAGATGTATAGTTTGCATTTATGTACTGTAGGGACACCCTTGAATTGTGTTAAAAAATGTCAGTCAAGACATCTGGTCAGCTGTCCTAATCCATATTGGGGTTTTTAGACTACTGTTATGCCCCAATATGCTTTGAACATTGCCAATATGCTTTCTCTGCAGTAGCAGCAGTGTGTCCCCTTTGGTTTCACAGCCCATCCCCAGCATTGTTTTTTATAGTGTCACGTACCGAGCAAAATGAAAAACCACATACTGTATCTCGTGTGTCTGGCTAATGAAACTGGTAGGACAAACCTTGTGTGATTAGGAACAGGGACGGATTGGCTTAGGTCTAGTTCATCTTACGGACTGCAAAAAGAATCAGCTGTCACTTGTGCCATGCAGCAGATGGACAGTTTGCATCCGATTTACATGCAGGCGCCAAAGCCTTTAGAAGCTTTGGCAGCCCACTTGCCATCAGGCAGCAGACTTTGATGTCCTGCAGATGGTTACAGCAGCCATCTTGCGCTCGCGTTGTGTGGCGCTGTTGTGCCTCCTCGCAGGCGCCGGCCCATTCGCTCCCAGTGCCTTTGGAGCTGCCGCAGTGCGTGGTGCCTACCCCAGGCTCAGGACCCTTTGGCTGCTGCCTAGGCACAGTTGCATTTTCATTTCAATACAAAGCTCCGCTGTGCTCTGCTTTTATGGCAACTGTGCGCTCGCACCCACATTAAAAATCCTAACAGTGCCTACTGCAAGCTGTCCCCACACTCCCTCCACTGAGCTTTGCTGTGCTTCACATTACCTACCTAGAACCCCGACAAATCTACCACCCCTGCTCCCTTCACCCATAATAGCATAATTTCACAATAACTGTTGATCCAATTTCTGTATGAATTTAGCTCACCAGTGCAGCTTTGCCTTAACATGGTTCAA